AATCGATCTGCCATAAAATGAGTGATTTTAATAGTTCGTGAAAATGAATATAGATATATTTTTCTCAATCTATTTAAATTCAGATAGATGATAGATAAAAGTCACCCAACTCAATCTGATTTATAAACGAAGTTATCAATCTAATCCATACTCTTTTAATAATGTTTATTCTTGAATGATCATGTTAAAATAAGTAATTTTAAGTACCGAAGTTTAAATACTGTTGTCACTCTCTCTCCACACCTGCCACCATTACGCAATTAAAAGGACTCTTCGCAGGATATGCCACTGAAAGTAGGTTTTTAAGTTTGTTTTTTTCCATTAAAATTCATCAAAACAGTTGATTGTGAAAGCTCACAGTCAGAAAGAAGGAGGGTATATATGTAATTACGGCTTATACCATCTTTATCGTAATCATCGCATCGCGCTGACGTGCTAGATCCAAACAACTCTAATTATTAATCTCTAACACGTGTTACCCCCACAAAGAAATATCTGTCACTTCTGAAGTGTTTGATTTAATGCTGAGAAAATAGAGTCTGGATTCTCGACCGTCCTTTTCGGCGGCCGTCCCAACAGCTCCCAAAACGATGTCGTTTTGAGAATTTTTTTGATTTTTTTTTTTTTCTTCTTCCTCGTTCGAACGAACCAGAGGGGAGGGGAGGGGAAGAAGAGAGAGAGGGGGAGGGGAGGGGAGCCGCCGGTGGGCCGGACTGGAGGGGGCCATTATCACCGGGGGAGGAGGAGGAGGAGGCGGAGGCGGGCCGGAGGCGGAGGCGAGGCGATGATCGGACGGCTGGACGACCTGCGACGGCGGAGGCGAGGCGAGGCGGAGGCGAGGCGAGGCGGAGGCGACGATCGGACGACCTGCGACGGCGACCCTCCCCTCCCCTGCGACGACCTGCGACGGTGACGAAGGAAGAAGAAAGAGAAAAACCAGAACGAAGAAGAAGAAAAGAAAGAAAAAAAAAAAAATAGAAAACCCCCAAAACGACGTTGTTTTGGGGGGCTGCTGGGAACGGCCGCCGAGAAGGGCGGCTGAGGATCCGGATTCAAGAAAATATATACTATAAAGAGAATTACATCCACTTAGACATGATTCTTTTAGGCGTTGGCTTCTCTTCAGTCTTTAATCGGATTGAATCGTGTTATTAAATCTGTGAAGGCTCATCACGGGTCTCGTTTTGATAATTTGAACTGTTCAATGTGTAGAACCGTCAAGTACTATAAATCTATAAAAAATCACGTTAATCGGATATCGGTAACTATGTGATCAAATCAGTTTTGTATAAAAAAAATGAACGGTGAATAAATTAACGGTTGACAAAAATCTGATTTGATCACATAGCTACCGATATCCGATTAACGTGATTTTTTACAAGCTTATAGTACTCGACAAGTTCTACATATTGAACGGTTCAGATTATCAAAACGAGACCCATGATAGGCCTCCACAAACCTAACAGTACGGTCCAATCCGATTAAAGACTGGACAGAAGCAAAGCCCATTCTTTTATTACATGAAAGTTGTAAGTGACATTTTGTATTTTCGTAACTTTTTACTTATATTTCACCATAAAATAACTTATACTTCATATAATTTTATAATTTTTTTTCTTATTTTATTGTACTGTAATTCTTCCATATAAATTTACTTAAAATGTAAAAAATCACTAAAAAAAAAAGAGTAAAAAAGTTATAAAAAAAACATATTCATATTTTTAATTCCAATTTAATTAAAAAAAAATCACTTTCCAAATCAACTTGTAGCCCACTCTCCTTAAATGAACCTCAATCTTATATTATCTTGGATAAATTTCTTTATTATTTTTCCTTATTATTAGGACAAAATACCAATAAATCCTAAATTAGTAAATGTTACACCATTTAGTCCTGTGTTTATTTTGAAACACTAATAGATGGGAAATTCTATTTCCGCACACTTACTTAGTTCTGTGCACGCACTTAATAATTTATTTTTTTATTACAGTTTTATCCTAAAATAAAATTACTAAAGTATCATTATCTTCTCCATTAAAACCTTAATTTCTTAACCCTAACCTTAGCCACCGCTCACTGCCCACGCTATTGCCACCGCCATCAATTCGGCTACAACTTCTTTGTGGTCTGTGTATTGATTCATTAACGTGTTTGAATAGGCACATGTTTTAAGTACGAACTTATATTTAAGCAATTTTGTTTCTAAAGATTTTTGCCTTGTCTTGGAGCTCTGAAGTGATGCCTTTTACTTATCCAATAGAAAAAAAAAAGAAAAAGAAAAAAAAAAGGAACTTCTGAAAATATTGGGAAAAAAATCAAGTTTCGTGTATCATTTATTTATATTCTATTCATTTATTAAAATGGCAAAGAGATGGTAGAGGGAATCTATTTCCAAGCTACAGTCTTAATAGTTATTGTTCATTGTCGATAATTTTTTCATCCGGACTACATAGAGGGATATTTTTGGCAAAAAAAAGTTGTGCATTGAGTAAAATTACAAAATTCAAAATTAATTGGTGTGTGTATGCAGAGAGAATGTGGAGTGAGATATTTTGGTGTGTGGAAATAGAATTATCCCTAATAGATCCCATTCCAATGTTAAAGACGTTAAAGCCCATGCTTCGTGATGCAACAAATTGCACTGTCATATGTTTTAACACTGCATCAGGATATGCTAATAAAATCCTATTCCATCAAGATTAACATCAACACGGACAAACTCTCACACACACACTTGCGGTCGGAACATCGCCCCATACATGCGACCCACAAACCAACATCAAAACAGACATTATGAAAACACCAATTCCCCCAAATACACCCACCCGAACTGTTCATGATGAAGGGAAGTTACAATAACACAGCCCCACCAACACACCGTCTATACATGCCATCAACAATTCAATATCGAAAGAACAAATCCCCTGCATATACCCCCAAAAAAAGTTCGAAACACCCTTATACAAAACGCAAAAACGGCAATGCGAGAAATAATAATAATGAAGCATATAAAACAACATAAACCCACAAACAAACATCGTACATACAATGCTCCAACAAAACACACCCAAACACCATCAGAAATCCATCGCAAATATAATAACACAAACACTAACATCACCAGAACCTGGACGAACGTCAATCGGAAAAAAAACTCCAAGAATCAAACCGCAGCACGCGAACAACACACCAATAAAACGAACCATCAAAGATCCAAAAACAACGTTCTCAGCAAGAACACCATAACAGAAACATCCTACACTTCCATACGAGTCCACGCCTTCCACGAAATTCCCTCCTAATAAAAAGGAATGTTACAATATATCCTTAATAAACAAACACTAGGAAAACATCAAAACCAAAACAAAATATGGGCAAAAAGGTAAACATGATATATAATAAATTTAATAACAATATTATACCAAAAATAATCAGGACTAAATGGTTTAATAAAAAACATTCAGGTCTAATTAGTGTAACATTTACTAAAATAGGATTTATGAGTAATTTTTCCTTATTATTATTTTGATTTTTGTAGATTCACTAGTTGCAAAAATTGAGTTAGTTGAGTTCAGTTTATTAAAATTTTATTTGATATTAGCTCGTTAAATAAATAAATAAAATTAAATTTTAATACATTTTAAAGTTTATAAATTTCTTAAATTTATATTTAAACAATTTATGACATGGCTGGATAAATATCTATACACTATAAAGAAAACTAATATACTTTATCTAGAAAAGGGTAAAAAAACTGACATACTTTATCCAAAAAAAGATAAATTAACATGTTTGGCATGTATCTAATAAAAGTAATTTTTACCAATATAAAAAAAACCAACATACCTTAACATTAATTTTTTTCATACAACTAAAAAGGATAAAATGAGAATTTCAAATAAAAAGAAAAAATATTACGCCAATTTTTTGAATTTTCTTGCACAACCAAAAAAGTCAACAAAAAAATCACACATACTATTTTTCACATCATAAAAAAAATTAAAAAGTTAAAAAATTATTTAAAAAATATATTTTCTTAGCCATCATTTGATGTGAGACCTATGCAAAATTTATGGGTGTGTAGATAAAAATCTACTTTTATTTTATTTTTAAATTATATTATGTTTTATAATTTTATGTATCAATATAACATTCGTGTAATAAATTTCACCACTCATATATTAATTATAATATAATGTCAACGTATAAAATAATAAACATAATATGATATAAAATAAAGTGTAGCACTGCTCATTTATATAAATTTTCAAACCATCTGCAAAAATCTCACTACTAGATTCAACTGTTGACGTCCATTTAGTATATGAAATCTAACCTCACGTTATGTTTGATTGAGAGATTTAAGAATGAATTTAAAAAGGACAATGAAAAAAATAAATAAAATATGAATAAAATATATTAACATTTTATTTCATTTCACACACATTTTCTCTTTCTCTTTCTAAATCTGTTATCAAATTCCATTGTCTCATTTACCACCTTATATATAAATTGCCGGTTTAGATTTATTTTAAGTTCAAATTTAAAATTCAGCGTCATATTTAGGCTCATTGACTCTATCACAAGTCATGCTTTGATAATTCAAAATATTTTTTATATCATTTATAAAAAAAACAGTAATGATTCATCTCCCTTTTCCCCCACCCCCTTTGACCCCTCTCTCTCTCATTGGTTACATTTTCTTTTTCTTTTTCTTTTTTTTCCTACTCCTCCAATCACCACCTGCCACGTGGCAAAGGGGGGTGAGGGGGTGACCCCCAAAAGGGGGTCCCAAGCATTATTCTAAAAAAAATTAAATTGATCCATTGATCATAACCGTTTCAATTTATTACATTTGTTTGTGAAAAAATAGGCGGAAAATGTGTTTTATAAATAAATTATATATAAATAAATAAATTTATTTTGTTACTTTAAATTTTATTAAAAATAAATAAATAAGTATATAATTAAGGTGGAGAAAGTCAACATTTCCTACTTTGTCAAAATCGTTAAGCTGCAGCAAATACCGTTCTCTCTAAATAGGAAAGTGAGTCGTTTCTGAGATCTGACCCATATTTTTACCTCTTCTCTGTCAAACGGGTCTCCTGAAAATCTCCTCCCACTCTGTTTTTTCCCCATTTATAGTTTCCTCCATTTTTGCCTCTCTTTCTTATCCTCAATTCTTTCCCATTTCTCTCTCCTTTCTTTTGACATTTTGCCCCTTTGCTCTCTGTTTTCTTGTTCGATCCATTCCCGATCTCGATCCTTCACGAGGTAGATTCTAATCAATTGTTTTCGATCAATTTGAGCTGGGTTTTTGAAATCTTGGTATTGTTTTGTATAAAGATTTGATCTTTTTGATGGGGTTTGTTTTGATTGTATTGATGTTGGGTGATTTGGATTGCGGTATATCAGCTTCGAGGTAGATGATAATTAATTGTTTTTTGAGTAATTTGAGCTGGGTTTTGAAAAACTTGGTCTTGTTTGTAGAAAGATTTGATCTTTTTGATTGGTTGTTTTGACTGTATTGATGTTGGGTGATAAGGATAGCGATAGATCAATTTTTCACATCGCTAATCATTTTTGATAGTCAATCGGTTTATCAGATATATGCAATGCATGTGCAATTATATATCTCTATCAATCGTTATCTACTTGTGTATGTACTCTTGAATTTTTTTGAATGGTTGTTGGTATTTGTTTAATCATGGTGCAATCTCGTCTAAATTGGCTTGTGTTTTCTTTATTTCTTTCATAGTTTTGAATGATATCTTGAATCTTGTATTAGTAAATGGTTTGTAGATCAACCTGTTCGGTTTTTCTGAGCTAAGATCTGTGATTAGATGAAAGATTAAAAAAATCTAGAGCTTCTTGGCCTGTTATATTTCTTGATTTAGTTTGAAGACGATTGGCATAGATCCTGCTCGATCATTTGTTCGCAGTGAAAAAATGGGTCCCAACAGTTTACAGTTGTTTAATTGTTGGTGGATTTTCAAACTGTTTTTGATTGATTGAATGTGTTTTTCTTTTCTTTGTTTTCTTGATTTGTGTGTTTTTTAAGGAATCGGGATCTTGTAAGGGTGTTTGTGTGTTAACTTCTGGTGGAAAAATATGGACGTGGAGGTTGTGAAATCTGAGTTGGTGCCAGTTTCTGTGGAATCTGGGAGCCACCGGCGATACAACAAAAATTACAATGTTTGAAATCAGATTTCAAACATCGTGAAAAATTACAATAATGTTTCAAATATTAGATTTACAACACAGATCATGAGAGGTCGACAAAACCGAATCGGAACAGATCCGATCTCTGCGACGTGTGAAGGTTCTGTGCTCTATTGTTGTTTTTCTTTTGGTTTTTGTTTGGTGACAAATTGCACTACAGGGGATCTCAACTCAATTGAGAACTTCAAGTATGGTGTGGGTTAGTTTTTGATTTCTCAACTACCTTTCAATAATGGAGCGAATTTGATATCTCAGCAAACCTATCTATGGCGGTAATTCTTTATTGCGATCATAGATCTCCTTTTTCTTTTCTTTTCTTTTCTTTTTTAAACCAATTTTCCTGGAAATATTTGAAATAATCTTAATGTTATTTTGATGATGACGTTTGATGTTGTTTGATGATTATGTTGTGAGGTTTGATGTTGTTTTGATGATAATGTTTGATGTTGTTTTAATGATGATGTTGTGATGTAAAAAAAAGGACTAAATGGTTTATAAAAAAACACTCAGGACTAGATGGACTCAGGACTAGATGGAGTAACATTTTCCCATATGGGACTTATGAGTAATTTCTTCATAAAATAAAGGATAAATTACAAATACATCCCTGAAGTTTGCTTAAAATACGAATTACTCCTGTAATTTGGAAAGATTACAAATACTTTCCCGTCAAAATTTTTTATTTAACAGAATTAATTGAAAAAAAGTAAAATTTTTAACCGTTCACGTATACAATAATAAAATTATCTAAATTATTAATTAAAATAAAATTTTAATATTATTAAAAAATTATTAATTAATTTGATAATTTATTAATAAAATGACCTATTTTTTATGAAATTAGAAACTTTAGATGGTATGATGTAATTTCTATTACGACAGGAGTAATTTAATTTAAGTAAATTTCAAAGAATGTGTTTGTAATTTACCCTTTATTTTACAATCCCACGTTAGGGAAGAAAAAAAAACAGTAAATTATTTCATTTATGTAAAGTGAATCTTATACTCCCATTTGTATAAGCAAAATGAGATTTTTAGTAAGAAATTCTATAATCAAATATCTCATACTCATTTTTTTGTTTTTCTTAATTTTAAACAATTAAGAAAATTCTCATTGCCTAACTTCCATTTAACTTTTATTTTATAATCTCACATAATTTTGATTTTAAAAATAATTTTGTATGAGATTTTGAAACCCTTATAATATTTAACTTTAAAATAATTACAATCACACATCGAGAAAATAAAAAAAAAAAGGAGGTTTTTTAATTAATTTAAAGGACGCCAATATTTACAAAGTATTTACAGAAGTGCACATCCCAAGACTTGACTTTACAAAACAGTCACAAAGACTAGCATGAATACAAAAACAGCCATGGCATTAGACTTCGATCGGAACCTCCTCGGGAGGCACAACGGTTGGCTGACAGAAACAGAATAGAAGGCCGTCAACTCTGGCCCTGGTCACACGCCGGCTCACCTGCATACATAATATAAACTGTGAGCGAAAGCTCAGTGAATAATAACAGAGTAAAGGGGTTTCAATGAATGAGTCTGTACAGATTCAGAAATCATAATTCAGTTTCGTATCAAATCCATAATTGGTCCAGATCATATACAGAAATAATAAGTCATGCTTGAGTTTACGTGATACATCCATTAGCAATAACA